TCTATCTCTCCACTTTTCTTCTCCAGATCAAGGTGGATGCAATATTTAGTAATAGGTATGCTGGAAACTCATGTAGATCCCTTATTTACCAACTTAAACTCTGAGTCTGACATTTTTCTGAGGCCAAATCTGACACTTGGCATTTAGAGAGCATGGTTATACAGATAAGTCCAAAGAACAGGGTTATAGATAGTCAATGCTCATGGGCCCTGAGGGTGAGCCTTTGTACCTGCAGTTCCCTAGGCCAAAAATACTCTTCCTCAAATCTCTTCATGGCTGGCTCCTTCTCACAAATTGGTCACAGGTCAAATACTATCTTCTAAGACAGTCTATTCCTGTCTATTCCAAATAGCTCCCTTGCCAACAAAGTCCTGCCCACTGCCCTGCTGAGAGTCTTCAATTTTGTACTACCACATGTAATTATTTTCTATTACATTTTTCCCATGTTAAATGTCTCTATGGCAAACTGGAACATAAATTATAACGAGAGATTTCTGTCAGCAATATTTTTCATGGTTTTCCCAGCATTTAGAAAGGCATGTGGAACTCAGGAGACAATCACAAGACATTTTGGATGAATGAACGACTGGGACCAAACTGAGGGTCAGCAATAGTTTCATCTGTGACTTTTAAGCTGATAGTTTTATACAAGTGTGTAGCGTATGATGGCTATTTGAGGAGTGAGGAGTTCTGTGGCAAACCTAACAATACCTATGATGGGAATCTTCCTAAAATGTGCAATTGTTGCTATATTTCTGCTCTATCATTTTTCACAGGTTTCAAAATGTGTCATATAATATTGGGTCAGGGACCAGGCAGGCCACCAGATGATTGAAGATGATTTATTTTCTTGATTTCAGACTACTGAAGAAAGATTATAGAAAGAGAGCCGGTTCTTGTCTGAGTTTACAGAATATGAAAGATAAAAGGGGCCTTGAAGTTCATCTAGTCTGGATTCATTCTTAATTTAAAAACGCTTTCTATACCACCAATGACACGGTTGCCTGACCTTGACATTAATATTTTTAGTGATGAGACACTCACTGTTTTACAAGATAACCTGTCTCACAATTGGACAGATTTTGATGAGCAAGGTCTTCCTTCTATTGATTCAAAATTTCCTTCCTGTAACTTCTGGCCCCTGGAGAAACAACACATAAGTCTAGTTCCTGTTCTGAATTATGAACTTTGAAATATTTGAAGACATCTGAAATATCTCCCCTGAGTATTCTCAACTTCAGAATAAACATCCCAAATACCTCCAGTTATTATTCACTTGTTTCTTCTTTTAGACACACACACACACACACACTCATCTTCCTACTGGATGATGTCTGGACACATTGCAATTAGGAAACATATGTTCTCCAGGGCAAAGTGGAATTAAGTTTTATTTTTAATTATGGATTTAATTGTACTTGTGCCATAAAGTTATTAAATGATCCACTTTTGTAAGTCAACTATGCATATAATTATGTACTATATCATTGCCAATGTAAGTGTCTGTTATTAATTGTGAGATGCAAAATAAGATTACTATGATATAATGAACCTTCTCCTTGGCCAGAAATCTGTGTCTAAAGAACATCTTATAACATACAATGTCAGCTAGCTGGTGAAATCTTTTGCTAAAAATACAAAAATATTCAAAATAATCTGAGTTTTCAATTCACATATGCACAAGCGTGGCTTCTTTCCATCTTTCCATTATAGACATTCTAAAATTAAAGTGTTCCATTATAAAGTACTATTAGTGAAAATACGCTAAGCCAAATGTAAAAATGAACTTTTTTTACAACAAGAATAGTATATTAAATGCTAATTTAAACATTTTTCAGCTAATAAGGTAAAAATAAAGAGAATTTATCCACATTCAGACTTTTCAGGTAGATTCAGTAAACTGGTTCATGTTTTGCCTTTCTCATGAGCTCAGTGTTGGCTATAATCACATCATCAATATTAATCACTAAAGTAGAAGTTATACTATAGTGTTATAACCCAATAATTTTCAATATTGACCTAATACTTCTAAAAAGCAGAAAAAATGTATTAAATTCACACTAAGGAAATTGATGGGTTTCAATTCACATGTCCTACACATATCTATTCTGTAATTACCTGTTTTTAAATGCCTAATAGTAAGTTATAATGTATATGAATATCTACAGTTATGTTTGCACTTACTACTATCTTGTAAAAATTAAGTACTATTTTGTTTTATGGACCAATCATGACTTTGTTGTATTTGTTAATTGACTATACCATGACAGACACTAACCAACATCAACACGGTATTCAGTTCACATCTAGAACAAAAGATGTGGCATAATCAGAGGGACCTAGAAATTATGACCCAATAATGCTTTGTTCAATTACCTACACCTCTTGTGTTCCTTTTCACAGAAGCTGAATGTTGCCAAACATAACACATTCAAAATCACAGCATCCAAATACAATGCTTCTTAGTTGTGTGTGGAATGACAAAAAAGTATTTTGATTATTCTTTTAAAATAAACAAGTTATTTCCATAATTCTTGTCATGGGTTACATTGCATCCTCCCAAAATTCATGTTTAAGTCCTAATCTCCAAACCAAAGAATGTGAAATGGAAATAGGGTTGTTGCAGATATGATAAAGTTAGGAAGTCAAACTGGAGAAAAGTGGGCTCCCAGGGGAAGTTTGAAGACACACACACACACACACACACACACACACACACAAGAAGATTACCATATGAAGATGAAGGCATAGTTGGGGCATGCTTCTACCAGATGGGAAGGATGCCAGCAAGCCACCAGCCCTGGGGGAAAGGCCTACACCAGGTTTTCCCTCCCAACCCTCAGAAGAAATCAACCCTGCTGACACACTGACCTGGACCTCTTAACCTCCAGAACTACAAGGCAGTAAACTTCAGTTGCTGAAGCCCCTCAGCTTGTGATACCCTAGCAAGCTCATGAAATTATGAAACTCCTAAATATTTGGCATTCTTCAGGTTATGCCTTCAAGAGGACAGAGCACTCTTTTTTAAAAACAAAATATTCTTGAATGTAGCATATTCTCATTCTCTGAGATAAAATTTTCCAACAGCCAAGAGTTACTCATATCTATGATATGAGTACAGTAGATCACATGTGCAGGTAATCCAGCATTCTTTTCATTAATTCATTATAGCATTCAAATTGATATATAGTAAAAATGGACTGTTTATCTCTGCAACTGACTTTGGCAGACAGTCTAAAAAATGTTTTAAGATGTTTTAAATGACAGCATTTCTTGGGGAAAATGTATAATTTCCTAAAGTAAGCCATTTTGAAATAAACAAAAATGCATGTTTTGCTGACAGTTGTGCATGCCTATGATCCCAGTGACTCAGGAGGCTGAGGCAGGAGTATTCCAAGTTTGAAACTAGCCTCAGCCATTTAGCAAGACCCTGTATTAAAATAAAAAATCAAATAGTCGGGTCTGGGGATGTAGCTTCAGTGGTAAAGCATCCATGAGTTAAATCCCCAGTATCTCTGGGTTAAATCTCCAGTACTCCTCCCACAAACAAAATGCATGTTTTATAAACCTTGATGTATTTCATTTTAAAGTTTCATTCTTAGCCATACTGAATGTTTATATACACACTCACACACAGACACACACACGTGTGTGTGTGTGTGTGTGTGTATTATGAATAGCGTAAGTAGTTAATCTGTGTTAATCCAGAAGTTTGTGGGGGTATTTTTGGTTTGGTTTTATTTATTTATTTTTGTACTGGGAATTGAACCCAGGCATGTTTAACTACTGAGCCAATCCCCAGCCCTTTTTGTGTTTTTATTTTGAGACAGAATCTCGCGAAATTGCTTAGGACTTGCTAAGTTTCTGAGGCTGTCTTTGAACTTGCAATCCTCCTGCCTCAGCATCCCAAGACATAAGCCAGAGTTTTTCAAGAGTGCTTTGTTAGTTTGGTACTTGAATGGAGATACACACACACACACACACACACACACACATACACACACACACGTATATACATGTATGTATATTTATATATGTATGTATAGATAGATAAAGATAGATGACAGAAATAGATTCCTGGGGACTGAACCTAGCCTCTCAGCCTGAGAAGCTTCCCTTCTATCTGAGTCACACTTTGAGTTTCCATTCAAGATCTGAAATGCTCAATAACTTCCTGTAATGATGGAATATCCTATATCTGCATCACCCAGTACAAGAGTCACTAGTCACCAAGAGGCTGTTCAGCATGGGAAATGGATGGTGCAAATAAGACATTGAGATTTTAATCTACGTTAATTTAATTGTAACAGAAATAACTACGTGGAGCCAGCAGTTATTGTACTGGACAACACAGTTCTAGACTTTAATTTGAAATTGGGATTCTATTCCTAACAGTGTGAAAATCACCACTGAAAATGAAGGAATAGGGAAAGTAATAAGAAGTAACTGATGATTTGGATCAACTATCCCAGAACGCACAACTGTGTAAGTTTCTTAGCACATAAGGTTGACTTTAATCCAAGTGATTATAAAATTCCATCAGCAAACTAAAACTGGCATCACTACTGGCATTAGCCAGCAGGGGGAACTGAAGAGTAGCAAGAAGTGTTTTCCTTTAGAATGTTTCTTCCCCCCAAATCCCTGGAGGCCTGAACACACATATTCTGCCCAGGAACTCCAAACTCTGTGCTTTCCAAATACTCAGAGTTAGCTATATCATCTACATATGCTTGTTTTCAAAGGTTCTCTAGGAGTTGGCAACTGAACTTGGCTCTAAACAATACAGTTGAAAATTAGTAGTTGTAAAACTGGGTCTTCTCACTTAAAAATGTCTTTAGTGTTCAGGTTTTTATGTTGGCTTTTTAGCTTTATCCTGTGTCTCCACATGTCAGAGACAAGTTTTAAGGCCTTTCAGATTTACACAGGAAAATTTCATAGGCATATTTTCAATTCTTCAAAGTTATTTTTAAAAGGTTTGTCCATGATAAGTGTGGCCTTACCTCTTGATAAAGGTCACTGAGATCTTCCTGGTGGGCCTGTTTGGAGCATCCTGGGAATTCCCTGACACAGCAGGAATCTGGAGGCCAGTCCATCTCAGTCATTTCTAACCAGTCAGTGAAATACACCACTCCACAGCACTTAAACTGCAAAAGAATTACTGGTCAGGCTCAGAAACTACAAAAATATTGTTTTAACTTATGGAAGATTGAATGTTAGATTTCTTAAATTTTTGTACTCAAAGCTAAACTCATTTCTGTCATCACCTAATGATATGTGTATATTCTAGTTGATGATAGAAATGCTGTAAAGGAACACCAGGGCTACCTACCCTATAATGGAACAATTCTGAACCATAATGCCCCAAATACATAAAAACAAATTAGGTCTGACCGAGTCTCCTTCCCCAACTCCAACACCCTCCACAGGTCGTCATACAATGGCAGATTTGACGTACAAAATAACAAATCCGATAGCTGAAATCTTACCTTTACCATTTCCTTCTAGCCATTAGAGAGTAGTTAATCGACTGTATATCATCTAGCTATTTAATTGTTCAACATGTTTAAATATTGTATTAAAAGTTCCATAATCTCTGTGAAAAGATTTATTAACCAATCCATCATAAAGATTGAAGACTTGGAATCCGTAACCAATAAAAGTTCCAAAAACTTCAAGAAATGAACAGGTTGGGCCAACAAATTTTCATTCAACAGAAAGAGATTCTTGAAATAAACCATCATAGTCTATTATCATAATTTCAGAAAAAAAAATATGTGCCTTTAAGCTTGAATAAAGTTGGACTTACAACTTATATTGCCTTTCTTAAATCATATTTAAGAAAACTATATTTTCTTCATTGTTTTGTTGCACCAAAGATTAGCAAAAAACTCTGATGAAGGTTTAGAAACACAGTTTAAAGACATACACAGATTAGAGTCAGAGAATTATCTATGCTGAATAATTTTCTGCTCCTGGGTAAAGGAGGAACAAGTACTCTTCCATAGAGTCAGAAGCAAGGAATATGGGTAGTCACAGAGAAAAACTCTGCCAAGAGTGACTGGTTATGCAAATGATGTAGCCCAAGAGATCAATCTGTGCTCAAGATTAATAGTGCATCATCAATTCAATGTTTAACTAAAGTTAACTTTGAAGAATTCTGAACTTCTCATGAAAAAGCAAATAAGGAAAACACTAAAATTTATTTTGGATTTTTCCACTTGCCTAAATATCTGATGTTTAAAAAGAACAACAGTTATCTTGGGAGTGTTATAAATGATGATTACTAAAAGCTATAGTTAATACTAAAGTTTTGAGAAGTGCTACAAATGTTTTTAATATTTTCCTGGTATCAACTCATTCTAAAAGTCATGAATATATTATAATCATCACAAAGTCAAACTCTAAAACCAGACATAACAGAAACATCACCAATTTAAGTCAAATATAATTTGACATCAGATATTTTACATAACTCATTGAGTAGTCTTTAAAACTAACTTGCAGTAAAAGGACTTCACTTTCTAAAAATTATCAACTACTACAATTCTAAGTCAGTCTTTTTGTTTTTGTTTTTGTTTTCCAAAGTCAGTCTTTTAAAATCCTTACGTTCAGAGAAAACTCATTTCTCTCATTTTCTAATGGCATGAGTCCTTCCAAATTTGATGACTTCCAAGGGCAGTCCTTGGAACACCCTAACTCAATCACAGTGGTACAGCCCATTTATCTGACTTTGTCAGGAAATGAGGTGATCCACTGACCTAGCTTTTCCAAATAACTTAAACATACTATGTTCAGGGCCAAACTTTTTTTTTTTTTTTCATAAGTCTCTGAATTTTTTTTCTTTTACATAGTTATCTTTCTTCTTCAATGGAGGATAGTGAATTTGTACCGAATCATTTCCTGAACATGTCTTTCAGTAAATTCATTATTATACAAACACATCACCATAGTTCTTGTCATTTTCCTGCCTCCTTTAACACTGCATAGTTTAGCTTTACTGTTGCTAACACTTCCAGTTCTAGAAAATACCATACAGTCACCATTTTATACATAAATAAACTGAGATCCCTTGATGGGTCAAGTCATTTCCCAAGGTCATATGCCAATATGTAGCAGAGCCTGCTTATACCAAAGCCTGTACTCTAACCACTATGTTAAAGGTAATAGTTTCTTAAAAAGGTACTAAATAAATGCCACTAGGACTTAAGCAAGATTCCATTAAATTGAGGCACATGCTTAGGGTAACAGTGAACAAGAGATCAAGAAAACAGAAACCTGAAAGGTGAATTTTAGCTCTGATTTATTTTGAAGAGGAGTATTAGAGTCTGAAATGTGTCACCCACCCAACCAAATTCATGGTTTGAAATTCCAGTTACTGGTATCTCAGAATGTGACCCTATTTGGACATACAGTCTTTATAGAAACAATTAGTCCATAGGGTGAGTATTTATCCAATGACTGACATCCTCATAAGAAGAGGAAATTTAAACAGATGTGTATAGAGAAGACAACTGTGAAGACACAAGGAGAAGATGGTCAGCTATAAGTATTATAGTTTAGATCTGCAATGTCTCCAAAAGCTCATGTGTTGAAAGCATAGTCTTGGTGTGGCAAAGTTCAGAGGTAGAGGTTTAATGAAATGATTGCATTATGAGGGTCACCGCCTCATTGTGGATGAATCTATTTAAAGGGTTAATAACTTAATGGACTACTGAGTGGTGATTGTAGGCAGGTGGGCTGTAGCTAGAGGAAATAGGTCACAGGGTGTCATCTTGGGAACTATTTCTGTCTCTGGCTCCTTCCTGTCTCTCTTTCTCTGCTTCCTGTCTGTCATGAGCCCAGCAACTCTTCTCTGCAATGCCCTTCCACCATGATGTTCTGCCTCACCTCAGGCTGAGAAGTTGTCTGGATTTTGCCCATGTCCTGAGACTTTATAAGAAGTTGATTTTAAAAGCAATAGACTTTTTAATCTGGTAGAAGAAATGTCTAGGCAGCATAGCATTCAGGCAGTGGCATGGATGTTGCTGGCAGCCTTTAGCCACGTTTTTTGTGATAATCAGGAGAAGAAAGCAGAGCAGAAAGATTGGAAAAACTTGGACTTCAAAGGTGGAAGTAATACTGGGGCTAAGGAAGTTGCAGTTGTTAAAGACATTATTGCCACTAAAGACATGCTAAAGACTTTTGCCTTGACAGTAAGAAAGATGGCTTGGATACATCTCAGGAGCTGGCAAGATCAAACCCATCTCAGGCTCAAGGGAGTAAAAGTGAAAATTTTCTTGAGAAGAGACCAGTGGGGAATCCTTCTTGCACAAGGAGGCCTAGGAAGTTTATTCAACATGCTCAGCCACCCAGACACTCAGAGGCAGCTGCAGCCAGGGTCCCTGGAGGCTTGGCTACTGCTCAAGATGGCGGCAGACTTTAGCATCCATCACATGGGGGTACTGGTTCTGCAGGAATGCAGGATGCTGGACTTAGTGGGTCATGGAGGCTTACACCAAGATTTCAAAGGGAAGGCCTTGGAAGCCAGGCAAAGTGCAGCAGGGTCAGAGTCCCTGTGGGCACTCCATGGGAAGGCAAGGTATGGAGATTTGAGGAGGTAGCCAAACCTGCAACGGTGACCCCCAAGATTAAGAAACACCAGTAATGTTAGACATTGTCCTAGGAAATCTGCAGGAATCAAGCAGAGACAAGCCAAAAGAAAGGCCCCTTGAGCTGCAACAAACAAGGCCACAGGGGCGGAGCTACACAAGCCCTTTGGAGGGAATTTATGATGCCATGTGCCCCAGATGCCAGACATGGATCTACAGGACTTGTTTGACCAGTTGAATTTCAGTCTTGCTTTGGTCCTATCCCTTCTTTTTATGTCCCTACTTTTGTGAATGGAAATGTTTACTCTGTACCATTATATATTGGATACTTTTAAATTGCTTTTAATTTTACAGGAGCTCACAATGAGAGATTGCCTTGAGCCTCAGAGAAGACTCTAGACTTGAACTTTGAGCAATCTCAGAACTGTGGAGACTATGGGGACTCTTGGGATGGACTAAATATATTTTGCATTGTCAGACTGAGAAACTAATGTGACTCCATTTTTAAAAATAAACAAATAACAGCAGCTTCTACCTCAAGGCCTATCCTAAGGAAGGGGGCGTGACCCTTGTCCTTGGAAAAACCCACAGAGCACTCCTCAGCACATACCCACCCTGCTGAGTTGTTTGTCTGTAAATAACAGGAGAGCTCTCTGTGCCAGGTGTCCCTGACTCAGTTAGGCTAGGTAAGGACCCATAGCAACCCCCCTAGCAACCTCCAATCAGCATAAGACAGAGAAAATACCTGGGTTGCCAGATGACCCCCAAATAGTTTATGGTGGTTGATAACATGTTGGGAAACCATGTAGTTTAGCACATACACCTCTCGTGGCCTAAACCAATCAGTTCAAACGAATCCCCCTCTTATATTAACCAATCACCCCTACCCAAATTGTTCCCGCCATTGAATGTGCTAATCAATGTTAAGAGTTGTTGTTTGACTTTCCCGCGGTATGGAATGATTTGCTATGTGATGTTGTGACGCATAGAGTATCCCCCCCAAACCTATAAAATCTCACTGAACAAAGGACCAGGACTCACTCCCTGGGACCTCTGCGTCGGGAAGGTTGTGAGTCCAGGCTTGAGCTTCCAATAAAGACTGTGTGTGCCTGCATCAGATTCAGCTCCTAGAGGTCTATTGGGGTCCCACAAATCTGGCATAACAAGATGAGTGTGAGCTTTTGGGGGCCAGGGGAAGAATGTTATGGTTTGGATATGAGTTATCCCCCCAAAGCTGTAAGACGATACAGGAAGTTTCAGAGGAGAAATGATTGGATTGTGAGAGTTAACAGATTGGTGGGTTAATCCCTGAGCGGTGACTAGAATCAGATGGGGTGTGGCTGGAGGAAGTGGTTAATTGGGGGTGTGGCTATGGGGTATATATTTGTATCTGGAGAGTAGAGTTTCTCTGTCTCCTTCTTGACCACCATGATGTGAGCTGCTTCCCTCTGGATTAAGACATCTGAAACTGTGAACCCTCCAATAAACTTTTGCTCCCCTACAGTTGTATTGGTCATATCCTTTAGTCACAGCAGTGAAAAAGCTGACTGAAACAATGGACTACTCACTGGGGGGTGACTGTAGGCAGGTGGGCTATAGCTAGAGGAAATAGGTCACATGGTATCATTTTGGGAACTATTTCTGTCTCTGGCTCCTTCCTGTCTCTCTTTCCCTTTCTGTTTCCTGGCTGTCATGAGCCCTGCAACTCTTCTCTGCCATGCCCTTCCACCGTGATGTTCTGCCTCACCTCAAGCCCAAAGCAACTTAGCCAGCCAGCCATAGACTGAATCCTCTGAAACCACAAGCCAAAATAAATCTTCCCTCTTCAAAACTATTTATGTAATGTATTTTTGTCATAAAGTAAAAAAGGTGGCTAACACAATAAACCACGGAGAGAGAGGCCTAAGAAGACACAGGCCCTGCCAGCACCTTGATCTTGGACTTATAACCTCCAGAACCATGTAAAAATAAATTTGTATTAAAAGCCACCACATCTGTGGTACTTGGTTATGGCAGTCCTAGCAGACTAACATAAGAGCCTTAGAAAAATTATTTCAGGGTGCTCAGAGATCATCCCCACTCCTTTTAGTGGAATAGCCTTATGACATGAAGGAGGGCGCTTACCATGTGACAATTCTAAAAAAATAGCACATTATCAAGTGCAGTGCTTATACATTGTCTATCCAATGTATATTAGCTGAAGTCATCAGAAAAAAAAAAACACAACAACAAAAAACACCTCACTTTTTTTTTAACCTGGATTATTGAATTATCATGGTCTACATCATAAATTCCAGAAAACAAATAGCTCTGGGGTGCTCCTCCCCAGGACAGTAGCTGAACATTGCTTATTATAAATTCCCTAATGCTTCACATATTTCCCCTTTGTGTTGTTTTTAGTACCAATGTGCAGTAAACAAACAAAGTCAGGAAGCATTTAAATAAACAGGAAATCTGTGTTACAATGATAATTTTACCATCTCAACAATTGTAAGACAAAGAGCCAGATTTGGAGATTGTCCTGAACTTGAACCTCTGTCCCTCTCCAAGACAGAATAATTAAGCAGAGAGCTGGCTACTGGGTAAGATATTCATTCTCAAATGATTCACAGTCCATCACAAAGATGAATTAAAGGAATCTGAGGTTCTGGATCATCTGGGAATGTTAAACACAAGGAAATTGCTTGGAAGAAGAGCTTAGTCTGAAGCAAGAACAGTGGTCAACTTTAAGTCACCAGATTTTCAACATTTAAATATAGACTGCATTTGAAATGGTTATATACACACATACACTGCCACATAAAGTGCTACATGGGCAGTTATTCAAGAAAAGCTAAAAGCCTCTATACTTCCTGGTGTTATTAATAACCATAAACTAAATGAGATCAAATTTATTGATATCATTTAAACTTTTCAGCACTCCCAGGATGTAGGTACTTTTATTACACCTATTTTACAGGCAAGGAAACTGAGGCTCAAGGAGGTTAAGAAAATTACAAAATCTCACATAATATTTTAAGCAGCAGAGCTAGGATTTGAATCAAGAACTTTCTGACTATAAAGTTCATGCCCTTAATGATATATGTACTGACTCCAAACTCCTAAATGAGAACAATCTTCTTTATTTTTGGTACCAGGAACTGAACCCAGGGCTGCTTAACCACTAGGCCACATACCCAGCCCCCAAATGAGAACAATCTTTAAAAAAAAAAAAATTAAAAAGATGTTTAAAATACAGACAGCTCTAAAATTCGTGAGGAAAAAATATCTATTTAAATAAAAACTTGGATAATTGCAAAATAACTCATGAAGAAGAAACTTCAGATTAGTTTAGAAAAATGACTTCCAAATAAATATATATGAACTAGGGGAAATAGTATTCATGGGAGAAAAAAAAAACAGAGTATAGAGTTAACTTAAGGTATTTCTCCATAAAAAATTACACCAGTGACAATTAAATGATAGGTTTAATTTTCCACACAAAAAAATTTACCAAAGCCAAAGCTTTGAATACTTGTTTTGAAAATGTGATACTTATACTATACTCTTCACCCCAAAACTATAGCACTTACCTCTCTCTGAAAAAAATTCCAAGCATGAGTAAGCCACCGATATCTAGGTAAGCCGTAGTTTGTCATTCTGGCTTTCAAAGTGACCATATCTGACCACTGTACTGGTACCTGGGGGGAAAAATTATATTAACATACAAGCACATTTTTTCAAACACTAATATTCTCACCTACTTAAAAATGCTGTCACATATTGACACATACATTCAGAACATATTAGAATTTGCAAATCCTATTTTAAATTTCTATTTGTTTGTGGACTAAATAAAGCTCAGGGCACAAGCCTGACATTTTAAAAAATGTCACAAAAATCAAGAACCTGAAAATAAAAATTATTAGGATAATTTTTGAAATGTTATTAAAAATAGCAATGTTGATAGAAATAGTTTAAAAATTCTTGATCAAAGATATTCTTCAATTTTCCCTTTCAAAAAAAAAAATTGGAAATAAGGCTTCGCAGAAGAAAACATACAAACACTTGGGCACATAATGTTGTTCCCCAAATACTGGGCTGACTGTGTTCAGATGGATTCAACAAAGTTCAGGGAACTAACCGAAGTTCAAGCTATCCACTATGAGTTATTATTATCTCATAGCTTTTGAGGCGTAAAATAAATGGAAGTAACATAAATTCTCAAGAGATGTGTCATCTGAAAGAATGTTATCGACAGATTTTATCTAAAGGAATGATAACTAAAAGGTAAACATATATAAGCAACAAAAATGACAGGGAACTAGATTGATGTCGAGTCTCTTGATTTAGCTAATAGAACATTCTTTTACTTTTTTTTTTTTTTTTTAACTTTCCAAAATAAATATTGGTTGTTTCTTCATGGTGACCACAATCACTCTGAAACCAAATGTGGTAAGAAAACAGAGGAGACCATTGAGGTTCTGGCACAAAATACTGGGATCTGGCCATAAAGTAACAGGCAGGGAACTGCTAGAAGCACAAAGCTCATTCTATGTAAAGGCTGGTTTCTGCAAAATTTGGCAGATAATAAACTTTAATGGCACTTTTCATTCTCACTGTTATTAGTGCAGAAGCAATAAAAAATGTGAAGAACTTTTTTTTTTTTCTTTTAAAGACTGCTTTCCACATTTTACTTTTAAACAGCCCTTGCTCTATCCTGGTGAGGTATAATGGGGAAGATTTATGCAAGCAAAACAATGATGTATGCCCTCAACTGAAATGGCAGTGTGCACTCATTTAGTACTAGGACTCAGAAGCCTTTTGCAGATTGTCCCTTAATAGAATGGGGTATTTAAACAAATACAAATTCTTTTGAGTTTCCTTGTGTTTCTTAGAAGTATGTTGGAATTAAAACAATCCCTTTTCAAATACCTTAAATGAATTCATTTTAAACTTGCTATTACTTAGGAGACTGATCATATATCAGTATTCCATATGTACAATAAAATCCATTTTAAAAATCCACAGAAAGTAAACTCATTTCTAAAACAATCTGATACTTATCAAACAGAACACAATCCAAAGCTGAGGTAAAGGGATCAAGAATTAGTTGTAAAATTTACTCTCTATTGATTGACTGTAAGGGACAGAAATTTATTATTTGAAAACAGAGAAACTTAACAATCTCTTTACCACAAAGACCCAAAAACTAATTCCCCCAACTACTTTTTCACTTTCCTAAATATACTAAATTTCTAGGGATGGAGTGAACATGTGAACTCAAAGACCAAAAGAGAATTTATATTTTCTTGGTAGACTTCATTTTGAAGAAAGTTCTTCACTTTATATTATAATGCAGCTAAGAGAACAGGGCGTGACTTTTCAACTTCTCATAAATCCACTCCTCTTCCTCAGAGTATCTACACTCTGGTAGGAGTGCCTTCATGGGGCTCATTTGAGTGGCAGCACCAAGGCATCATCTACATGTAAATTGCAGTATGCAGAGTACCCACCAGTCTGTAGTAGACTGCCACTTAATATTCACAACAGCCTCACAGAAGTAGCAAGTTCACCATTCAATCTTTAATAACTGCATCAGTTGCCAGAAATGAGTTCAATTATTAGCACAACTGTCTAATGCACTCTTCTCTCTCAAACAAATACAAACTAATCACCCTCTTTTCTTCAGAGCTATTGAATTTAAAAATGTTTAAAACTATCACAAATGCAGGGTCCCTGGCCCTGCCCTCTACCCTGCTGTCTCTTTCTGACTTAGCACATCTGGGCTGGAGCCCAGTTATGTGCACCACTAAGAATCACCCTGGGTAAGTCCTACTTCAGATGGTCCAAGGATTACATGTTGAAAGCACCATTTTGCTGAAATAGAATTATTCTACGATGCTTAAGGTGGAAAAAATCTGGCCTGCCTCCATGAAAACAGCCAGCATTCACAGACATGCAAAGGCGCAACACCCCACGGATAATAAATGAACAAATTTCCATCACTGAAGTGAGCAGACTAAATAAGTAACACTCATTGTGAGCAAAAGTAGAGTGTGAGAGACAAACCAAACTTGACCAGTAGAATCTTAAGACTGAGAAGCTCCTAGCCTCATTCATGCTAATACAGCTATAAAATTTGTTCCAGCCAGTTCAATGGCTGAAGTAAGAAAAAAAGTGCTGAAGAGCACTTTTCAAGTAGCCAACCCTCAAACTGTGAGAGTGTTTCTAGATGGCAGTCAACATACAGCACTCCCCAAGCACACTTCCTTTAGTGGAAGATGATTCAGCCTCTAGCAAGCAGGAGATGCAAGCTTCCTGGTCCCAGGGTTGTTCTGTGTGATCGGTATCTTGGAAGGCTTTAAGGAGGTATGTTCAAGCATTCTCAAACAAATCCTGTTATACATGCAGATTTTTCCTATGATTAACTCAGAAGTTGGAAAATTATTTAACAATATATGCTAGCTTTATCTCTAACATCCACATCTAAGCAATCTGTGGAATTACAGACATGTCCCATAGTATACCAAATAAAGTATTATAAATTAAGGTTTGAAAATATACTTTAGACACAAAAAAGAAAAGTTTATTTTTTCAGAAGTATTGGGACTTCATTGTTACGAAGCACGTTATGTAGTAGGAACATTCAAATTAACAATCATGGACTGAAATTAATCTAAAATATTTGATTTACTACATTGAACTAGATATTTTTTATATTGTGATTATAGATTTCTTTGAACTCACCACAAGTTCCTGCTCATATGTCCAAACACCACAAGCCAGTTCTACGCAGAAAATGACAAGGAGACTTCCAAAGTACTGTTGAAAAACAAAAGTTAATATACTTTGTATACAACCAGAAATAGGAAAAATTGTGGTCTATATGTGTAATATGAACTGCAATGCATTCTGCTGTCATATATAACAAATTAGAATAAAAAATAAAATAAATATTTTATTAAGAAAAGAAAAACAAAAGTTTGCTATTAGTACAGAACCATGTGAAGTATGGCTATCAAAGACAAATCAGATATTATATAGTGTTATATTTATCTAATGGACAAGGAAACTAAGCAGACGAGGAAAATTTCAGCAAGCTTAGAAACCCTACAGATAACATGCAATACTCATCTAAGTGGGCGTTTTTATTTGCTCCTAGGACAAATCTTTTATAAATGCCAGTATTTGTCATAGGCCAAAGAAGAATTTACACTTTAAAGCTTAATAAACCGTAATCAAGTTCTCTGAGAAATTAAACCTCATTTTTTTCAAAATGAATGAAGTATGATCAAAAAGTTCAATGTGCTGCCTGTAAGCATATTATAACTCACTCTTGTAGGCAATGGAGACCTCTTTTGCATTCTTCGAAAAGCAAAATATCAACTACCAATGACAATGCAAAAAAAGTAATAGTAAGCTGCTATCATGGGAAGGCACTTAGATTTATAAAAGAATTTCAGAAAGTCTGACAAGGTACGCATGGGTAAATAGATAGCACAAACTTGAGTACAGTTTAAAATTAAATAAAAATGAAGGCCGGGCATGGTGACACACAACTGTGTAATTCCATCAGCTCTGGAGGCTGAGGCAGAGTTCAAAGCCAGCCTCAGCAACTTAGCAAGGCCCTAAACAACTTAGCAAGACCCTGTCTCAAGTAAAAAAACGGACTGAGGATGTGGCTCAGTGGCTCAGTGGTTAAGCACCCCTGGGTTCAATGCCTGGTACCAAAAAAAGAAAGAAAGAAAAAATGAGGATAACGATTCAGGATTCCTATAATGGAGAACACACATGAACACAAACTGAGGAGAGCTGGAACAAAAAGAGGAAATTTTTAGGCAAGTAAAACACATGAACAAGTGTGCAGAGGCAGCCAAAAGGCTCAATGAAGGGTCAAGGAAGCAGAATAAGATCCATCTATCAGAGAAATGTTAGGAGATTGAACGTGAAAGGCAGATGAAATGTCGATTTAAGACAGATCATGGTGAGCTTTAAATAATACACTACTGAGTTTAAAATCTATCACCATGGTAACAAGGTAGCATCTCTCAAAGTTTCTGAAAAAGAAAGACATGAGAAATAGATCAATGGTAGGATTCTAATTGGTTTGGGAGGGAAGCGCCAATTAGGTAGGTTGATGATTCCTTAGAAGGGAACAAAGAGCAGACAGGAGGTGGGGACCCGAATCAAGATGGTGGCCTTGCAAATAGGCAGGAAAGACCACCTCCAAGTAATATAATAAAAGAAAAATAAAACAAAAGAAATTTGACTGACTGGATTTAGACACTGAAGGGGAAAGATACATCAACCCTAGGTAGAGAAATGGGGAAGGGTAACTAGTTCTGTGAAAACACTGACTTTGAGCAACACAGAAATGTATATCCAACTATTAGAAATGCCAGTTCAGTGCTCAGATACCCAAGGATAGAAATTAGGATGATTAGAAATAAAAATTTAGCAACTTTTGGATAGTACTCTATATATCAGGCACTTTCATAATTAATCCAGCCAAGAACTTTGCAAAATGAATGAGACTACCCCATTTACAAATGAGAAAATGAATGCCCAAAGTAGATAATGTTCAAGAATGTGCACATTACATTTTGGAGGGCTGGATCATCGTATCCCTGTTATGTATGTTCTTTTTTGCCCACCTCCCCCACTGTCGATATAAATTTACATAAGGAAATGGCAAAAGTGTGAGAAAAAAATGGGCTCTCTAAAAGTTCTCTCAATGCCTCCATCAGGAATAAAATAGCCCTGAGCTCATGAATCTTCTGCCTCACAGTGCAGGGCTGTGCAGCAATCATTATCAACTGTTCCCTTCACTGAAGTGAAAGCTTCACCAAGGGCAGGTACATTTTTGTGTCTCTCATCACATAAGGTATGTGTTACATAATAATAATAAGTATGTGTTACATAAAAGGGTAAATGAAAAAGTGAGATTTGCTAGGAAGTGACTGGAAGCTCCTTATACCAGGTGATCCAGAAAGGCTTCTTTATAAAGATGATATTTAAGATGATCCAGAGAGCTGGGGTTGTGGCTCAGTGGTAGAGTGCTCGCCTAGCATGTGCAAGGGCCTGATTTCATTCCCCAGCACCACATAAAAATAAACAAATAAAATAAAGGTATTACAACTAAGAAATAAATATTTGTTAAAAAAAAAAAGAAAGATAAATCAGAGACTTATATTCTTTCCCCTCTATCCTTGTCTTGTGTGTTAGCATCCACATATCAAAGAGAAGATTTGGCTTTTAGTTTTGGGGGACTGGCTTATTTCACTTAGCATGATATTTTCCAGCTCCATCCATTTACCAGCAAATGCCATAATTTCATTCTTCCTTATGACTCAATAATATTACATTGTGTATATATACCACAGTTTCTTTGTCCATTCATCTGTTGAAGGACACCTAGTTTGGTTCCATAACTTGGCTATTGTTAATTGAGCTGATAAACACTGATGTGGCCATGTCATTACAGTATCCTGATTTTAAGTCCTTTGGGTATAGGCCTAGGAGTGGGACAACTGGATCAAATGGTAGTTCCATTCCAAGTTTTCTAAGGTCTCTCCATACTGCTTTCCATACACCAATTTGCGGTCCCACCAGCAATGTATGAGTGTGCCTTTTCCCCCACATATTTCCCAACATTTATTGTTACTTGTATTCATTATAATTACCATTCTGACTGGAGTGTGCTGAGGTCACTTACATAAGTAGCTTCTGAACAAGGAGTAGCAGGGAAAGGAAGAGAGTGGGCTGATACAGGATTGTGAGCTGCCAGAACTTACACTTTTGAGTTTCAACACTCACAATTTTTGCCCAAAGAAGGGAAAACATTAAACAATACAGAAAATTAACCTGATTTTTCTGCTATGTCCACGATATAATCTTTATACTATAAAAATGTAAAGCACTAAAATTCATTTTGCTTCTGTCATAGTCCCTTTATTTAAAAAAATAAAGAATATAGAATGGCATAATTTCTTAGACAACAGCATGGCTTAAAAATGATAATTGCTCAAGACATAAAGTAGTACTTTGCTTTGGGGATCCATTTTACAAGCTACACTTATTCTCAGTATATGTAGGACTCATAGTCAGCTTCAATCTCCTCACTTCTCATTTCCAAGTGTTTTTTTTTTTTTTGGACTTCATTTAAAGATTTCAGTCTTGAAATGCTGATTAAAGAAATCTGGTGAGAAACAGTACTCCAACTCAGTCTCTGCATTCTCTTTAATATTTAATTAAGAGATCTTTAGACACAAAAAATTATATTTGCTCCTATGGTACAGTGGACAAATGATCAGTAGTTACATGCTAGATCATTTTTCCTATCTTAGAGAAAAATGATACGGCAGGATACCTTTGCTCTCTCAGATCCTTAACCTAAATTCTTTTCAAAACTGATTTCTTGCTACATTGACAACCAAAGCAGTTCTCAAAAGGCCAGATGTCTCCAAGGATAAAACATGGACATGGATATAATTCTATATGCTGAAGGAGAATAGGAGATACAGATATGCTCACTTTGTCTTGGGGTTAACCATGCAGATTTCTGGACTGATTTTATATCCTTTGAAATCCCACTTGACATGATTCATTTCTTGCCTCCTGGAGTCACTGATGAGTTTGCAAAAGCCCAAGCTGTACCTGTTGAAAGAACCCAGCACAGGGTCCTGGGCAAGTACCCGGATGTATGCAACATGTGTAATACCTGAGTAATTGCCAGGCCTATGGATCCATGATATCACGTTTGATTTCTTAGAATGAGTATTACAGTGGGTTAGCAATACCATGACCTAGGCATCCACAGGAATGAATACATCAAGCATATATACCTAAACCAAATTCTCATTCCAAACTCAAAATTGAGATTACTGATTATGGGAGAAAGAGGGTAAACTCTGTTTCACTTGGCCACTGTTATAACTCTAGGAAAATTCCAAAATGATCATGTATTTCAGATTTCCAATGTTTTCATCTGATGCAAGCTCTCCCATACAAAACAATTACCGTGCTTTTTATTTTATTTCACTAATACTCAGGAGCCCTATTTGACCTTGAGGTTAAAAGCACAAGTTTCATTAACATTATAAAACTTTCTTGTAATGAATTAAATCTATACTTTAATTGAAATATTGTGTTTTTACAAATGAAACTGCAACTTCACTGTTAGCTGTCTTCGCTTTGTTGTTATTACATTGGCCTGAAATATTCAGTCTTGTATTTCCATTCTTAAATATGAATGTCAAATCTACCCTTTGTGCAACACACTAGATGAACTGCATTTACTCCTAAATTTTCTTTTTCCATGAGATCTGAGTTGTTGGTAAAGTCATCCTCATGTTGATTATTGCATAGAGAATCACTCAGTCACCATTTACTTTAAGGACTGGATTTGAAGCATCTCTAAAGTATAATGTTAGCCATAGTTTCAACACAACATAACTAGCAAAGAATAAAGTACCAGCTTCCACTGAGCTTTGCTATGGTCTGAAGTGGACAGTCATATCACATTTCATTACACAACCATCTGCTGTCCTCAGCTTTATCTGGGAGCATGTATATGTTGCCCTACTGGTGTTACCATGTGCCTCTCATGCTAACTTTCCCAGTGCATATGGTTTGATGAGATGGTCTGTACCAATTTAGCTTGCAGAGCAATTAGCCCTCTCTTCTTTGGGTGCTTTCTCTCTAGCATGGTGGAAAAGCTTCTGAATGTTGAGTTAGAAAATTCCCAGCTTGAAAATACACTTGTGTGATCTTTGGCAAATCCTTTAACTGCCCCCATGTCAGTTTGCTCATCTGCACAGTGA